AAGGAGTATCTGTTGCATGAATAGGTGGATTACTTTATTTCTACTGGAAAGTTCTCTTTTCTTTACTTTTTGTAATATGCATTTATTTAATAAGCCACAAAATACTTTTAAATCGGTATTTTTGTTTTGCTAATCCATTACTTGACAATGCAAACAAGGGATAAATTTACTCAATTCACACTGCAATCCACAGTCAATATTTTACTAGAAATTAAGTTGAAAGTTTAAACTTCTTCGAAAAAGGTCTCCTTTTGTTTGAATTAATGCAGAGGCCATGAGAATCTGACATCTAGATTCATCTGGTCAGACATAAATGTCCTTATAATACTTTGGAAAGTTACTTTTGAATTCCCATTTGGCTCAACTATTTAATAAGAGTGGCACCAAGAGTTGTGTCCTCTGTGTCACATCCCCACTCCCCAGAGATGGCTCTTCTTTTGAAGCATTTGAAAACTCAAAAATAGATTCTTGAAAAGAAGTCCCATTATTCCATCTCATGGCCTTTACCAAAGATTAGAAACTATGAGAGTTTAGCCTCAGAGGTTGTTTATTCCTATGTGTGCACTGAGTTGAATGTGGAAGTCTCTGCAGACGTGACAGAAGACAGGGCCCAGTAAATGGGCAGAAGAACCAGATCTCCCTCCCAGGAGACATGGCTTACTGCTCTGAAGCTGCTGTGATGTCCTGCTAATCACTGTAGAGTCACCACTGAGGTAACTGGCTGAGAAGCAATGTGTCTTTCTCTGTTTCTACTCAGCACATGAGAATGCCAAGGAAATGAAGGGTAGGAAGAGAGATAAAACTGGAGGGAGGGAGGGAAGGAGGGAGAGGAAGGAAGTACTCCCTTATAGTTCCCATTGTCTCAAGACTTACCTTCCATTCCTGTGCAAATCAACCTGACACCTCTGAAAGTCTGGTACATTTACTTGCCTATTCAGTTATTTTGAGCTAAACTGAAAAATTAGTTAAACAAATCACCCCCCTGCATCATATAGAACTTTTTCATACAAAAATTAAAGTCAACTCAGATCAACCACCACAGTCATGGATGTTCCTGTTGTCACTTTGGGTGGATATTTCCTTTGAGCAGAGATTTTACTTTTGCAGAGGAAGATGCTTTCCCAGACACCATCTTCAGTCTATATCAACCTATAAACATTTTAAATGAAAAGCACCAACTATGCTGAGGGACAAGAGCCACTGCCCTGTTACAGGAATAGGAAGACATGCCGAAATTCTAACAAATGCAAGATGGCTAGAAATTGAGCTGGGGCCCTCTTGTTGTCTGCCGAGTCAGCCAAAGTTTGTAAGCTTCAGTCAGCTCTGCTTTTCCTGTCACACAGCTGATGCTACATAAGGCCACCTTCGCACATGTATGAAAATTTCCTTCCATTCTGCTACTCTGGAGCTTAAAATGGGGTAAGAAGTCTGTTTGGCAAAGGACGTAACTATGACTATTAATAATGAAACTGTTTTGTAACCAAATCACTCTACACTGAACAGTATTCAGGAACCTATCAATTCTTTGTTCTGTTTTTGGAGTTGTGATTAAGGCAATTGGAGCACTGGCCTGAGTCAGGTTTCTAGCTCCTTGACTTTGGATGTAATGCTAGGTAGGAATCCTCCATTTGACAGCATTGGGCTTTAATATGTTCACGTTAAAATGGAAATTACTTTTCATTTCAAGAGGTTGTGAAGCATGCCAATAGGCAAGACTTGCAAAACTTTTAGAGGAAATATGATGTATACATAATGTGTTCAGAAACACTGGCTTCTCTGTTTCTCCTCTGTGGGAGGAGGACCTTCAGGGGACAGATGACTGGAGTTATTGGTCTTTTATAATAGTGCCACTTAGTGTTCTTTAACTTTCCCTTCTGAACCCAGCTTCTTACTATGCAGCTCCAGTGGGTAGAAATAACATGGTGCTTGAGATATTACTTTATGGTAACATTTTTATATAGTTCTGACCAAATACATGAGAAGTTCCTGAGAGATAACATGATAGTGGTTTTTAGAAATGTGTATCTCATTACAATCTTTCTCTCTCCCTCTCCCTCCCTTCCTCCCTCCCTCCTTTTCTTTTTTCTCTCTTTCTCTCTCTTTCTCTCTCTCTCTCTCTCTCTCTCTCTCTCTCTCTTTCACACACAAAGGCATGCACATATGCAAACATATACACACACACATTAAACTCAATGTATGGTTGAAAATGACTTTGAACTTTTGATCTTCTCACTGCTAATTCCTGAGTGCTGGATTTCAGGTATGCACCACAGATCCAGTTTATGCTGTACTGGAGAAGGAATCCAGAGCTTCCTGCATGTTACACAAACACACATCAACTGAGCTATATCCTCAAAAAGACTTCTTTCTTTCTTTGAAGTAACATTTTGTGAGTATTTGTGAATAAAGGCCAAATGTCAATGTTGGATGTCTTCCTCTATTGCTCTTTTCATGTTATATATATACTCTCTTATTGAATCTAAAACTTACTGATTGTCTAGATAAGCTGGCCCATGATCCTTTGGCATCATCTTGTCTCTAGTCTTCACTCCCCAGGGGCTGGCATTATGGCAGGCATTGGTTATGTTCTTACATTGGTGCTAAACATCCAAACTTAGGCCTTCAATATTGCTCCTCAAACACTTTACCCACTGAGCTATCTCTCCAGCCTCCAAATATTCATTTCTTAATTAAGCCATTATAACATACCAGACTAAAACTTGGGAAGCTAGTGTAGTGTTTTAAAATTAATAAATTACTTCAGTCGTTTTCTATTTTAGGAGGTTACTCGGGGATTATTTCTTCCTAAAGCAAGTCAATTAAGGGCTCAAGTGATGAAAACACAAGTTTGGAAGCAAATATTGATAAATAGAAACCTGAGTGGTTTAAATAAAAAAACACAAGATATCTTTATACAAGTTGTCTTCCTATGTATCTGGATTATACAGCCAGCTATCACACTGGAAAATTACAAGGATAAATAAAGATAATTATATGAAAGATTTTGAAAACTTAAAATAGTATCATCATTATGCAGCAGAACCTTTACTACTCCCCAGGGGCCAGGGCACTGAGAAGCAAACCCCTAAACTAAGCACCCAGAGCTGTAAATCCCTGACTTCCAAGGCCTAGGTCTGTATGTAATCTTTCAGTTTTCAGGGTTCAGAGCTATAAGCCACTGAGTCAGTTAGCCTCACCCTTAAGCCATACACCCTTGCAGTATGTAGAAGCCCAGAAATACTAAGCCTGGACTACTTTTTATATCTTCACAAGTTCCACAAAGCAGAATAAAAAGATCCTTTCTAGCTCATTGGCAGCAACTATGTTAATCAACTGTATTTGGTACTTTTGTGTGGCTATGATAAAATATCCTGATGAAAACAACTTAAGTATTTATTTTGGTTCATGATTCCAGAAGGACAGAGTTGATCATGAATGGGAAAGTGTGGCGATAGTCAGGGAAAGCATGGTGGCATGAGCAAGATCTTGGCTGATTACATTTTCATCCATACAAAGGAAGCAGAGAGAACAAGACGTGGGATTAGGTTATAAAAACTCAAAGCTCACCCCAGTGACATACTTCCTCCAGCAAAGCTGCACCTCTTAAAGTTTCCAGAACCTTCCCAAAAAGCACCAACAGTTGGGGAATAAGTATGTAAATACATTCAGTTATTGGGGAAATTCCTTATTCAAGCAACCACATGAACCACTAATATGTTAATAATAGACACAATATGATACATTTCAGGTCTTCTTTGCTACTTTTACACATGATTTTATTTACTATGATCATATTTTCATGATTTTCCTTATTATTCTTCCATGCTTACTTTTTCCATATATACTTTAAAAATCAACATGTCAAGATAGAGAAAAGCAGTTGGTATTTTGATGGAAAATTTATGATGATAAGACATGCTGTTCAAGAAATAGAGTGATGTTTCCCATTAGTCCAGATCTACTTCTACATCTTGCAGGAATGTCTCATGTTTACCATTCATAGGTTTTGTTGATTCATTGATTCTCAATAAGTAATTTATAGTTTAAAATTGCTATATAAGAGCTTATCATCTCAATATATGGAATCTGTTGCCTCTTATCTGTTATTAGATATTTTTCTTCCATATGTTGTATTTTAACATGTAGATTCTGTTACATTTTTTAATAACAGTGTTTTAATCTGTAAAAAAGAGGGTTTTTTATAAGATAAAGAATAATGTCCCCTCAAGAAGTTCAAATCCTCACAATTTATAAATTTATAAAAACCTTACAAGGCAAGAGGCAGCTTGTAAGAATAAAGACCCTGTAATGAGAAGAATATACTATATTTTAGGTTGGCCAATGTAATTATGAGTTCTTTTTTAATTAAGAAATTTATATTCATTTTACATACCAACTACAGATCTCCCTCTCTTCCCTCTTCCCACCCCACAGCCTTCCCCCCCACAACCCATCCCCCATTCCCTCTTCAGACAAGTAAGGCCTCCCATGGGGAGTCAGCAGAACCTGGTATAAATGTAACCAACCATCTTATTAAATAAGAAACACAGAACCAATGTAAAAGAGAAAGCTGAGAGGTCAGAGCTCAGAGCTAAAATCTCACCCTTCCTTCTGCGTGCTCCTAGCTTCCCGAAAGAGAGCTATTTCCCTGTGTGTAAGTCGTTTCATAGTCTTTTGTTCTGCCTTCTCATTGGTTGTAAACCCAAACACGTGATTGCCTCATCACTGTCTGTATGTACAGGCCCCCAGGTCTTAAAGGCATATGTCTGCAATGCTGGCTGTATCCCTGAACACACAGATTAAAGGCGTACGCCACCACCGCCACACTCTTTCTATGGCTCTAATAGCTCTGACCCCCGGGCAACTTTATTTATTAACATACAATCAAAATCACATTTCAGTACAATTAGAATACCACCACATTTCCCCTTTTTCTACTTTAATAAAAAGAAAAAAAAGCAAAAGGTTATAACTAACATAAGAAAAACTATATACAAAAGTACAATAACTATATACAATATATACAAGTAATAAATACCTAAACAGGTATTTGACAAATCAGAG